GCTGTCACTCTGGATACCAAATGGCATTCCACAGAAAACAAGAAGCGCTATTATTCAAACTCTTACGCATGAGCACAGTTGTAGCTGACTACCAACAGGCTCTTAGCAAGGGCAGTTCAGATTTACATAGCCTCCAAAGGCAACACTGTCTGAGCTTGCTCTGAATCACATTCACTGAGAGCAGTGATGCTACAGTGTTCACATCTCAACCCCAACTCAAACTGAACCTCACCCCTGCCTAAGAGCCAGATTCCCATGACTAAGACCACTGTGGAGCACAGGCCTCAGAATACAGAGATGCACTTTGAGTTTGGTCACGTGTGGCTCAATGGGAGAGCATTGTTTAGCACTCGCGAGGCTTGAGGCCCTAAGTCCAATCCTAAGTAAGCATTTTAGGCTTGAATCTTTTTTGGAAGAATTCCAGAGCCAAGACCAGGAGTAGTCTCTATCAGTCCAAAGTGGAGGGACCAATGCCATTCTAAGAAAAGAAGGAAAGAGAGCAAGCCCTAGCCTTGGGGTGCTCACTAACAACCTCAAAATACCAACTGGATTTATAGTAGTCGTCCATGCCAGGGCCTGGACCTCTCCTTAAATACTTGTATGATCCATCTAGATCCATGACTGTAACTAAATGCCCAGGCTGAACCCACAGGTGTGATGTCTCTGGATCCCAGGTGCTCCCACTCTTCCAGATCAAAGCCTTCTCAAGCACCCTGGCAGTCCGGCACCCCTCCTGGGCCTGCCAGCATGGACAGCAGTGAGTTCATGCTCTCTCTTGTCTTGTGTTTCTTTGAATCCTGGGCACACCAGAGTCGCACATGCCTGTGAAGGAAGAGAAGACTGGAAGAGATATGTGGAGTCATGTGCCAGTGATCTCTAATGCCTGCCATGCTAGCCATAGTCCCCTCAAGCCCCCTTCCCCGTGTCTTCCAGTTTCTCGTCACCATCACTGGCTCCCAGAACTTGTAAGAAATATAGTTCCTGCCATTAGACTTTCTGAACAGGTAGAGTGAGGTGCCAAGGAATCTGTGCTCTGAAACCTTTGCTCCAAGATTCTTCTGCACATAGAGTCAGAAGCGCTCTTCTGGTTCCGGCTCCCACTCTCAACCTAAGGGAAGTTACCCTCCCAACAAAGGCTAACCACACACTTGCCCTCACCTACTCAGCTCCATGTTCCCTGAGAACTCTGTAGGGAAAAAGGGCAAGTCAAAGAAATACACCCTGACCAGAGCCAAAGAAACACACTTTGACCCTGTAACTAGAGTCAAAGAAAATACACACGTTAGCCCTAGAATCAGAGCTGGTGGAAGAAACATGTCCTGGCCCCGAAATTAGAACCATACAGCTAAAAAGGGTCAGTGAAAGAAACATACTTTGGCTTTGAAACCAGAGCCAAATCTGCCCCTAACCATCAAAGCAGAAAGCCAACCTGAGCAGGAAAGCAAACCAATCCCTGAGCAGAAAACCAACCAATCCCTGAAAATGAGATCTAGCCAATCTAAGCTCAAGGGACTGAAATCTGACCAATTCCCACCATGTAAACCTTCGCCCTGCAAAAACTCCGCCCCTAAGAAGCCCTATACTAGCTCTGCACCTGTTCTGTTTGCTGCTGCCTCCTTCCACCCTGGCAGAGGCAGACACTCTCCTGGATTCTTCCCTCCCAATATATCTCTTGAATGGGGTTTGGGTGAAGACCTTCTTTTGCCAGAGCAGAGACAGAGCCTGGGTGGAACAGAGTAGAACAGGGCTGTAACATTTTCCTGGGATACCTTGGTCTAGCAAAGAAGGATTGTTACACTGCCAGGGACTGGGGCAGGGGTGAGGAAACTGTTACATTGGGGAAGCCTTTCCCTAGAGCAGGGCTGTAGGCCGCTATGCTTACTCTGACCTGTGGTATTCCTTGGCTCCTGAGTGCCAGAATAATTTCCCATCCAAGCTGTCACGCTTACACACTGAAAATTCCCTTTGTGCTCAGCTCCATGGTCCCCAAGGACCCAGAAGATTTTCTTTGCACTCAGCTCTGTGCTGTCCACAGAGAACAAGCAGACCTGATGCCTTCTCCAGCATACAGCTGCCTTACGAGCGCGTAATGGACACTCCCAGGTGCTAACAAGACGTTCTCTGTTCCGCTCCACGTGCCCATTCTGTGAAGCAATCAGATTGATTTCCTTCTTCTTCTACCTCCAAACCCACTACCACTACAGCCTCTACCTGTGATGGCGGAGGATACAAAATAATCCCACACTAGTTCAGAATCACATATAATAAAAGCTTATCCATGGAGGGAAGACTTACAGATCGCTGTCCTAGATCACAATCCTGCCTGTGCACTAATAGGGAACAGGAACAGAGTCTAGCAGCCAGAAGTGAGAGCCAGAAGCAAGAAAGTGAGCACAGGCTCTACAGCTGCATTTATAGTACAAGAGACCACATTCAAGTGTGCTGGTATCTTAAAGGCTATTGGCTGAAGGAGCTTCCACAGCTTTTGTTTAAATAGGAGAGTTCCAAACTCAATACAAAACTATATACACTAGGAACAGATATCAAGTATAAGATTAGAATTACAACCAGCATAAACAATATTAAGCAAGGAACATATGCTAAATGTTTTCATAAGCATTCTATCCTAAAGAGTCTAAGCCTTGTATTGAAAATGGCTTGGCTAGACCATAAGAGGACAGTAACTACGAGTAACTAATCTTCAACCCAATCAAAGGCCTGAGAAGGGAGATAATATTACTTGAGTAGGCAGGAAGTGCAATCAAGTAGCTTCTAAAACATGCAGTAGATGACAGAGACAACTGACTATCTGAGCAATCACACAAAGTCTCATTTGCAATGTTGAAGCAACCAACTTTGGCTAAGTCCTAGAGTAACTGACAGACCATTTTCAGTGGCAGTAAGTTTTTCAAAGCCATCTTACCCTGTCTTGGCAAAATTTGACAGTCTTTTTTTTTTCTTGACTTCTGCTTGTCCAATCCGGACTTTGTGCACTATGTCAGTGGTTGAGGCATGGGTAGTTTCTTGCCCAAAGGCCAGTTATGCCAAGAAGACAAGCTCCAAGTGGAGTGTCTTTGGTGCTCACCAATCTCTTGGGAATAGATAGGTGCTGCCAGGAGCAATCATGTGTCACATCAACAGAATACTAAGTTATGTAAATGCCATATTCTACATCTCTTTGAAGTGATTGAAGGTTACCTATCTATGCAGAATACAATTTCTATGTACCTAAAGAACCTCATTAGTCTGATTAAAAGTATAACAAACATGAATGACTATTGACTTAGTACTTAATACCTATATAACATAAAGATTAAGACTTCATAACGGAATATTAAACAATCTTTAAACAACTGTTCAGTAAAGGAGGACACTAACATCAAAATATAAAAAATCTATAAATATCTTGATCAGAGGTAGAAATATAGAATGAAATATGATAAATATATCCTAAAATTGTATCAATATACAAAATGTCTTGAAGAGAGGTAGAAATATGCATGCAAACAATACAACAAAACAACTTTGCATAGGTCTACAAATGTTGTAAACAGAAGTAACAAATATAATTTGAATTTGTACCAATATACAAGAAACTATACCAGTGTAAATTGACCATAAATAATAGCTCACAAGTATTCACTCTATTACTCACGATTATTATGAGTGTGAATAAGTTAACACTAAATTACCTATCATCCAATTTAATCTTCCCTTTTTTCTTTTTTTTTTTGAGAAATCTAGGCCTACATAGTTTCCACCCCAACCCCAACCCCAACCCTATGCGAGTAATAATCAACCCCTAAATGGTGTCCCTAACCATGAGGACAAACTTTGTTGGGAATTTTTTAGAATTGCTTCTTGCTGTCGTGGGGGCAATGTTTTTCCTATGGGATCCTGTAAAAGAAAAATGATGATTAAGTTTCAAGATTGCTGTTCTGTACAATGACAAATGGCCTCTGAGTAGTCGATAGGGTCTCTTTGGAGTTCTGTCCAGAACACTGTAAGAAGCTACACCACTTCCACAGCTGGTACCCAAAAGCCAGTCCCATAGTAGCACTTTCAGCATCATGACGTCGTACCAACCAAGTGGAGTTGCTGTTGTGGGGCCCCATCTTCTTCTTGGATTACTTCAAAGATTACTACAGAAAAATCTACTATTCGTTGTGGAAAACTTAAGCATTATTCATATAGACATATATTCAATGAAAGATATGATATAAACAAAATGGGCATAGAGAAAAGTAAAATATTTCCTTAAAATCTGTCTTCTTTTTGTCCATACCAGATGTCTCCTGACATGAGACAGAAATTCTGAACTTAATTTTTCTTTTAACAGCATGCTTGGATTTAAAGAAGGATAACCATTGCCCAACTCCAAAGCCAGCTCTTATGTTGAAGTAAAGATGTATACGTGCCCAAATAATCAAATTTTACCATGAAGATAACACAGCATCATAAGGCAGATTTATCTTTTCTTGTGGATTCCTTCTGGATAGCTATATTTTTATGGTGTATGAGGTCCTTCTGTATCTGTGTTGCTTTCATTGGTTATTAAAGAAGCTGCCTTGGCCTAGTTGATAGGGCAGAATTCAGGTAGGTGGGGAAGACAGAACAGAATTCTGGGAAGGGCAGTGTGGCAAACACCATGAAACTCCTGCCCGAGATAGACATAAGTTAGAATCTTTCCTGGTAAGCCGCGACCTCATGGTAATAATACACAAACTACTAGATGTGAGAGTTATATCCAGATGTGAGAGTTAGCCAATAAGAGGCTAGAGCTAATGGGCCAGGCAGTGTTTTTAATTAATACAATTTCTATGTGGTTATTTCGGGTATAAGCTAGCTGGGTGGCTGGGACCAAGAGCAGGCCCTTTCTCCCTACTACATTTTTATCTCTATGCATCTAGATGTCCAAGGTCTCTCCACTCTTTGAAGATGAATGTTTTACTGCAAAACAAGAACAGAACCCTGCCCCAACACTTTTGAGGTTTTCTTACCATCTGTATGATTGTCACCTCTGTGGATGAGCCATCTTTTCTCTTTCTCAAGAGATTTCTCTTTTTCAAACTGAATCTTTATCAATTTTGATGGTATCCATAACTTTTCTTCTCCTGTAGAAACAAAAGAGAAACCCCTTCCTCAATGTGGCACATCTCCTGTTTTCCATTGTGAGGTCAGCACATCCTTGAAATATACTGGCTGTTTTAATTCAGAAGATTTTTTTTATTATCCAATGTCTATCTGCTGCTGTTGTTCTTTTCTCATTAGCATTAAGAAAATTCAAGTTTAATAAAGCATTATGCAATCCTTTTCTGGGGGTACTTTCCATTCCTTTCTGTTTGTTTAGCATATCCTTTATAGTACGATTTGATTTTTCTATAACTGCCTGAGCTGTAGGATTGTTTGGCATACCTGTAATATGCTTTATATTATAATAAGCAAAAAACTGTTTCATTTTTTTAGACACATATGCTGAAAGATTTTCTTTCTTTAATTGTGCAAATATACCCATGATGGCCATAACTTGTAATAAATGCATGATTACTGAATCAGCCTTTCCTGAGCACAAGGCAGTTGCCAATTGAAAACCTGAATAAGTGTCAATGGTGTGGTGTACATATTTTAATTTTTAAAATTCTATAAAGTGGAACACATCCATCTGCCAGATCTCATCCTTTGAGTACTCTTTTGGTTAATCCCTGCTGGTAATCGTGTTTGGTTATAGAAAAAACAAGTAGGACACCTCTTTAGTCTCCTTAGCTTGTTGCAATGTAATAGAAAACTCTTTCTTCAAACCTTTACTATAGACATGATGTTTCTTATGAAATTCTGAGGACTTCAGCACACTTCCAACCAGTTATATGTCAATTTCTGCATTATCTTGTGCTAGAGGACCTGGCAGGCTTGTATGGGATCAGATGTGTGTTATGTATATGGGACAAAGCCTGTTCTTGATTATATCTTAAACCTGTATGAATAATGAAGTCAATTCTGTATCATCTGGTATAAATTCAGCAGTTTCAATATGCAAAACAATCCGTTCTGCATATTGTAAAACAGCAACTATATTGAGAGGTTCTTTAAAATCCCTTAGTACCATAAGAATAGCATATAATTCTGCCTTTTGGACAGAATTATAAAGGCTTTGTTCTACCTTACTTAATTCTTCTGATTATCCAGAATAGTATGGTTTTCTACAGGAGGCACTAGATTGTTTAGTTTTCTGGGTGAGACATGTTCTCCACAGTGACTGGGAATGACTAGGCCTTGTTTGACATCTGGGCCTACAAGAGGCCCCCTAAGGAGTTTCCCAATGGAATTGGGTATCCTTGTCTGTCTCTTGTTGACCTAAATTCATTAATCAAATGTCGGCCTTTGCCATACCTCCTACATATCCCAGAAGGCTGAGTCCTCCTATTCTTGCCATTCCTAGAGGAGACATTATTCCTAGGAATTCCTTGTCTACAGTCCCTTCTTAGATGTCCTATTCTTCCACAATTAGAACATTTGGCATTTTGGTGTCTCCTCATACCATTGGAAATTGCTTCTTCTACCCAAGCTTCAGTACTATAGTCAAATGTTTCAAAATTCATTGTATGCAAGATCCATTCATCTATGAGTGCTGATATAACCTTTAAAGCCCCAAGGATCTTCTTACATTCTACGTTGGCATTTTCCTTTTGCTCCTCATTTGGACCTTGGGAGATCAGTCCAGTGCTCCAATGTGGGTCTCTGTCTCTATCTCCATCCATCGCCAAATGAAGGTTTTATGGTGATATGCAAGATATTCATTAGTATGGCTATAGGATCGGGCCATTTCAGGCTCTCTCTCCTCAGCTGCACAAGGACCTAGCTGGGGACATCTCTCTGGACCCCTGGGAACACCTCTAGTGTGGCGGTTTCTCAGAAAATTTGGGATCATCCTACCCCAGGACCCAGCAATACTACTCTTGGGAATATACCCAAGAGATGCCCTATCATACTACAAAAGTATTTGTTCAACTATGTTCATAGCAGCATTATTTGTAATAGCCAGAACCTGGAAACAACCTAGATGCCCCTCAATAGAAAAATGGATAAAGAAAGTGTGGCACATATACACATTAGAGTACTACTCAGCAGTAAAAAACAATGACATCTAGAATTTTGCATGCAAATGGATAGAAATAGAAAACACTATCCTGAATGAGATAACCCAGACTCAAAATTATGAATATGGTATGTACTCACTCATTAGTGGATTCTAGCCATAAACAAAGGACATTGAGCCTATAGTTCGTGATCCTAGAGAACCTAAGTAATAAGGTGAACCCAAAGAAAAACATATATAGATCCTCCTGGAAACTTAAAGAAGACAAGATCACCAGGCAATCCTCGTTAGTATAATGGTGAAAAAAAAAAGATTGCCAGGCAAAAGTTGGGAGCATGGGGGTAGGGGTGAGGTGAGGAGAAGGGAAGAGGGGGAGAGAGAAGGGAGAAGGTGAGGGTTGGGGAGAACTTGGGAGAGTGGAATGGTTGAGATGGAGGAAGGACGAATATGGAGCAGGGAAAAGGATATCTTAATTAAGGGAGCCATTTTGGGATTGGCAAGAGGCTTGGCTCTAGAGGGGTTCCCAGGTGTTCATGGAGATATCCCCAGCAGGACCCCGGGCAGTGGAGGAGAGGGTGCCTGAACTGTCTTTGTCCCATAGTCAGACTGATGACTATCTTGAATATCACCATAGAACCTTCATCGGGCGACAGATGGAGATAGAGACAAAGATCCACATTGGAGCACTGGACTAAACTCTTAAAATCCAGTTGAAGAGCAGAAGGAGGGAGAAGATGAGCAAGGAATTCAGGACCTTGTGGGGTTGGTCCACCCACTGAGACAGTGTGCCTGATCTAATGGGAGTTCACCAAAGCTAGCTGGACTGGGACTGATGGAGCATGGGATCAAACTGGACTCTCTGATGTGGCTGACAATTGGGGCAGATTGAGAAGACAATGATAGTGGTGCTGGGATTTGTTTCTACTGCAAGTACTGGCTTTTTGGGATCCTTGTCTGTTTGAATGCACACCTTCCTAAGTCTGGATGGAGTGGGGAAGGCCTTAGACTTCCCACAGGACAGGGTACCCTGCTCTTTCTTAGGACTGCAGGGGGAGGGGGAAGGGGGAGGGGAAGTGGAGAGGGAGGAATGGGAGGAGTGGAGAGGGGGGAATTGAAAGAGCAGAGGAAGTTTTGAATGGTATTATTTATAAAGCAATAAAAAATAAAATAAATAAGAAAAAGAAAGAAGCGCTTATACAATCTTCATCAATGGAGAATTGATATCCTTGGTTTTCAAAGAGTCACTGTATAAAGAAATTCACTGATAACAACACATTGTCAAGTATTGCTCCGAACTACAGGTCAAGGTAATCTCCTGGACCCAAGCTAAAACATTCTCTCTGGTCCTGCCCACTCCAGTCTGAGATTGGGGAGACCCAGCCCACACACTGATTCCTTCTGGTTTATTTGAGAGGCTAGGTCCATTCATAGAAGACCAGAATCAACCTTTCCCCTCTCCAAATTCCAGGCCCTTCTCAGGACCTACTCCTAGATATTGTTGTCCTACCTCTGTTGAGTTCCCAGAGAAGAAATTCTAAATCAGTTTAATGTTCTTTTATTCCCAGGGGCTCATGACTTTCTTCAGTTCCTATTGCAGTAGAAGAAGTAAGGCAATGGTCAGCTGGACATGACTTTCCACATTGTGAGCCTTTCCTCTAAAATTCCACATGGAAAATATCACGTGACAAAGCTTAGCTCCCACAGTCCACCATGCTTCATTCAAAAGCTTATACTGCCTAGCATGGCTTACGGTGTCTATGATATTCATATACGCACACAACACAAAGGTCACTGATGTTGGTGTGGACGTGGAGGAATTGAAACTCTATGCATCACTAGCAGGGATATATCATTGCACTCGCTGTGGGAAAGATGGAAGGTCTTTGAAAGAACAAAGCATAGAATTCTCATTTGATATATCAATGCCACTTCTGGGCACAGATACAATATAACTAAAATCAGAGTTTCAAAGTATAACTTGCATTGCCTTGTTCACATCAGCCAAGAAAAGAAGAACATGGACAGAAGAATGAATAAATGTTATACATGCATGCAAATATCCCACTGTAAAAATAAAATTCTGACAGAAACATCACAACTTGGTTTGGTAAGTGTTCTGCCACTGAACTAAATCCCCAGCCAACACCACAACTTGGATGAACCCTGAATAATTGTGGGAAATGGATATGGCCAGATATAAAAGAAGAAGTAGTATATGATTCTATTTATACAAAACACCTAGAGTAGCCGAATGTGTAGAAACAGCAAGTGAAATGTTGGCTCTGTGTAGATGACAATGAGAAATTATTATTTGCTAGAATACAGATTTATATGTCTAAGTGGATGGTAGTAATGGTTACACAATATAAATGTTCTTGATGTACAGGGCTGAGAACTCTAAAATGACCAAAATGATAGATAGATAGATAGATAGATAGATAGATAGATAGATAGATAGATAGATAGACGATAGATGTCATATATATATATGTGTGTGTGTGTGTGTGTATACATATAAATATCTTCAAATACCAAAGATCAGAAGATAATCCCAGAAGTATTAACATCCTTTTATACCAAACCGAGACTTTCTACTTGACTGAACTCTAACTGCAGCCAGAAAGTAGACAAGGTTGACTCGAAGTGACTTGTTATTGTGGGGAGCCACATTTCACTGTCTTTGTCACTGTCCCAGATTTTAGGGAAAGACTCTCCAGCTATGTGCTGACTGTACAGCAGAGGACAACACACTCTGGATGTTACAAAGTGGCCTTTCCAGCATCACATACAGCAGGTGTGGCTTGGCAGGTGGTCCCCTAGATCCTGGCTGGACGAACCCTGCTAGCCCAGACTGGTCCTTCTCCCCCACAGCCCACTTCTTCTCCTTTGACATCCCAGATGCTGACCTCATGGTTCTCCTACTCATTTCCTTTCTCTGTATTGTTGTAAAGGGTTTTCTGTTTTGAAATTTCAAGTAGCATGTGGTTTTACAGGGAAGAAAATGAGCAGAAAGTGCTGAGT